TCATGTTTTGCTTGAAAATGAGTCAAATAATGAACTATGAAAACAGTTCTTCAATGTTCTGTGGATCGACAAATCGATTATTGAACCAATAGATTCAGCACTGCATGCGTTTACATTACATTTTAGGAACCTGAAACACAGTCTCTCCTGGCAAACCAGTCCTAAAATAAGATGTAGAACAATGTCCGTCTATGGTGTCATAGAAAGGACACAAGAAGGAGATGACGAGAGGTTTAAAAATGGATGGAAGGAAGTGAGAAACATCTGGTTAACCAGAAACAGACTGAAGTGCACTGCTCAGGTATAACAAACCTTATCTGGGGGAAGGGAGCTGAGAGGAGAGTCCATGCTGCAGTGTGGAGATAGATCTTTTTATTGTGGTTTTCTACTCGAAAACAGCACTAATGCAATTGAGAAAAAAAGGGTTTTCCAGGAATTGTAAATTCAATTATCTATTGCCTGACTCCTTCTCCATTGCCAGTAGACGAGGATTTTCATTATAACCTTGCGTGTCATGGTCGGCGACAAATGCACCATCCAATAAAAGGTTAGTTACACAATGACCATGTTACGGTGATTAAGCTACTTGTTTTTCATTTTGTTTACTTGTTCAGGTTCTCTTTCAAACCTAAAGACAAACAAAGATATTTTTAAATCATTTTAAAATGTGTTTTCAAGTTTGGATGAATTGTGTTTTATGATGATCAGCCAGGTCAAATGAATGTTGTTCAACATTAGTCTGACGGGTTAGAAGACAGCATTTATAGTATGTTTTTGTACATAAATGAATTATAAGGATCCCTGTTGATTTGATGTTTTATTTGAATTATTCACTTCATTGGACCTGGAGCCGATAAACACCTGGGACTACTGCAGAGTATTTTGTCCCGGGATTGAATGCCGATTGTAACCCTTGCCAATAAAGACAAACACCAGATGTCAGTGGATGTTATTTGTGAGAAAAGATACTACATTTCTCAACACCACCTGCAATGTAAAACCACCAAGAGTCCAGGGGTCCTTGTTTTATTATCAAAACAAATCATTCAGACAGCGTCAACAAGAAGCACTGAATATGTTAGTTTATCAAACTGAGAAATCAGAAAAGGAGAATATTGGCCGATATGTTTTCATGTCCGCAGAGCATAGAGTTGCAGCAGAGCGCCCACACACACCTACATATGGCTGGGCAGCATAATCACAGCAAACTCCTTATTACTGCCTACAAGAATATCATGTCATTCCTACACAAATGTCCATTCCACGTCATCTCCACCCAAGATCTTATCAGTTCCAATCTAATCACCCCTCCACCCAGCTCCTTCTGTACATCAGCTCTCCCTTTTACAGCGCTTGGTATCTCTTTGTGTCGCTCTAATTTTAGGTATCAGTCTACATCAGCCCAGTTTCTACAGAATTTAATTTGCTTTCATTTTAATATGTCCATTTTCTTTTGGTCCAACCAACTTCCCCATAGCTGTAAACATTCCCGGCATTATCCCTCACTACCAAAGCTGTCAAACTAGAATGACATGAACAGAGAGTTGCTATTAATACAACGCTTTTGTCACGGTTTAATCAGCTGACCGCTTCATGTATGACGTGCTATAGAGGGAAATTATTTGGAACTATATCTTGCACTGTAAGGGGAGAAGATGTTTGCATATAGCATTTACATACAGTATGCGACGCGTGTTCCCTTTCCCTTTAAGATCTGACCTTTAACTGCATGCATGTTACAATAATTTCACATCCTTTAAGTTAAAGGGGCCCTGTTATGCTCACTTACAGGGCTCATATTAGTATTCAGTGTCTCTACTGTGACATGTCTCCATGCTTTAATGTTCAAAATGCTCTTTATTTTTCTCATTCTGCCTGTGCTGCAGCACCTCTTTTCACCCTCTGTCTGAAACCAGAGCCCAGTCTGCTCTGATTGGTTAGCTGGCCGGCTCTGTTGTGATTGGTCAGCGGCTCAGAGATGTCCCGCCCCTCAAGTACAAGATCAGGGTATATGCAGGAATCCTGAAGTCAAATGTAAGACCCTTTCCATACATTTTAAGACCTCATCGCCACTTCGAGTTTTAACCGGTTACATTGACTATACACAGTATTGATTGTCCTTCCTCCTTATCTTCCAACCATTTGGACGCAGACTTGCATTTCCCCATAACGATGTTGTTTAACAACCGGCGTAAACGGACCTTCGCGCGCTATCAAGCAGTGAGCGTGCGATGTTATGACGTCAAATCCAACGGGATGCCATAAATAAACTACACAGAATCACACTACACACCTACGCAATGATTACATTCAGGCAGACTGTAGAATACAACCTCTTTGGACCATTCATATACTTATTGAAAACAAGCTACAAAATGTAGATACCTGTGGAAAATGCCGTTTAATACTTTTAAATAGCCTGTCATTTTCGTAAATTTACTTTTTTCTTCTTGTTTTTGAAAATACTTTTTAAGACCCCGAGGGGCACCCTGAATATGTTAGAGCGCTAGCCAACAGAAGCGGTGGAGTGTTGGGAGTAGTGGCATGTCACATGCCCTAGCAGAAGCGAAACCCCCAAAAGCTCGAATAAGGCCCCTTTAAAAAAGTTGCTTACACTTACTATTCTCTGAGGGTTTAATCAATCCTCACCTAAATCGCAAGTTACGCTTTATTTTATGGGACCACCTTTAAATGTGGTTCGCATGCTATTCAGTTTACTCTGCGGGGATCCAGATGTGAGTTCAGTCGCGACTAGCGCATCCAGTCACGTGGCATCGGGTTACGGTGCTACACGCTGTGGGCGGCGGAGGGAGCGAGGGTCGTGGGGTGGTAGGCAGTTGGGTGTTCTGTTCTGCATCATCATCATTATCTCTAATTACCGGTGTCGGGTTTTTTTAG